GCAGTAGACGACCACGTCGTGATGTATTCAACACAGGCACCACCCAGGACCAGCCTGGGGCCAACATAAATCAAGAAGCCGTCACTGCTTCCCCCTCCTCCCTCCCCCACGCGACATTAACACTCAGTCTTGTTCAACAATGGCGAGGAGTAGAGCACTTTCCTCACACACACCTGAACTGAACCTGTTAGGATTTATGTAACACAAGACGGATTTCTCAGCTGAAGAGGTAAGCCTACTATCCCTAATGTGGTGAGGTATTACCTGTTTTACTATATTAAGCTGATAATGTACACCATTCAATCTGTAACTGCACACTAACATTATCACTAACGTAACGGGGCAAGTTATCCAAACTAATTATGATTTCAACTGAATTTAAAGATACACCATCAATGTATATTCACAGATATTGTTTATTCTGTCTATACCAACATACATTTGTTGTATCTTTTGGGCTGTGACATTTTTAAACATATAATGTGTGGATGTTAATATAACATATACAGTATATCTACAATGCCAACGATTACGACCTGAGTGTAATAAATGTTCACATGGGTGTGGATGAGACGTGAGGCTTTTACAAAGGTGGATACTATGCTCGTGGGTTCCTATATAAAAGTAGAGATGTCATTTTTCTCCAGATGAAAGTAATGCCTTTTATACAAATTATTTACTTGACATGTACCATGAGATTGAATTAAAAATTTACGTTACGAATGACACATACGTGTACATTCTCACACAAGAAGCTTATAAATAGATAATTCATACAGAAAAGGATTTATGTGTGGTGTATCATCGACATGTGATAAGCTGCGTGGTTGTCGTCGGTACATACATCTCAATATATCAGACGCAGTCGTTTGAAGATTGAACCATCGTCAGAGTGATTATCATCATTGACATATAGCCTGTCACCCGTAGGCACTGAAAAACTAAATAAAACGTTTAATCATTCTGTTTCTGCTCTAGACCTACTTAGAGAGTGGGGAAATATGATTATAGATTATAAAACACGATCATGCCTAGCAACACGTCATTTTCCAATATCGATAAAATAGGGTAGTGTAGTTCCGGTTACTGGTAAAACTGGAACGGATTCTTCCAAAACGTTTGATCATATCTGCAAACGCATAATACATCTACGGGTTCTGTCTTCAGCAATCCGTGCTTGTCGTTAGAGGCGACTAAAGAGATTGAATGGTATTCTAAGTATCGCTGACTTGGTTGAAGCATTTCATCGTATTCCAATTGTGTGGATCGATGCTCATGATGTCAATCACTGGATTGTCTGGTCCAAACTGGATTATTTACAGACCGCCGTCATATAGCTGATATATTGCTAAACACCAAACAAACAAAAAGGTTTTGTTGAAAGTAAAAGACACAATTGTCAAAAAGCGAAGTAATCCTAACTGTCGTGTAAACAAGTAAAGCGATAAGGTAGTCGTGGATGCACCAAACTGTCAATAAGCTGTCAACTATAGAGTGGGAGATATATCCGTCAAGTTCATCCAGTCAGATGCGAGTAAACAACTTGTCAAGGAATAACCTGTGTGACCTTACTTGTGACATGAGTCGAGCGTTTGTGATTGGAGACAGACAGTCCATGTAAAATGGCCGGCATGATACAATAGAGCCTTAAATTAAATTCTATTCACCTTTCGAAATAAGTCCATGGGATTTCTTACAGTGTTATATATTTACACCTTGGGTCTCAGGTATGGTTGCAGTGTCATCATAAACATACAATATGTGTCAGGTCTTCTTGCAGTGTAATGAACATACAACGTGTCCCAGGTATTCTTGAACTATAATGAACATACAGTCGGTGTCAGGTATTCTTGCAGTGTAGTGAACATACACTGTGTCCCAGGTATTCTTGCAGTGTAGTGAACATACAATGTGTCCCAGGTATTCTTGCAGTGTAGTGAACATACAATGTGTCCCAGGTATTCTTGTAGTGTAGTGAACATACAATGTGTCCCAGGTCTTGTTGTAGCGTAGTGAACATACACTGTGTCCCAGGTATTCTTGCAGTGTAGTGAACATACAATGTGTCCCAGATATTCTTGCAGTGTAGTGAACATACAATGTGTCCCAGGTATTCTTGCAGTGTAGTGAACATACAACGTGTCCCAGGTAATCTTGAGCATGTGTTTATGAATCACTATCAAATAGCGATGATGCCAGGTGTTCGCGAAAAGGTGGGCATATCCTGCCCCGCCGGTGGCACCAGTCGCAAACACGTGCACAAAAACACGGGAACATAAGCAGCGGAATAAAGTAGCTGGAACGTAGGAGAGAGAGAGGCTTCACACAAGATACTGAAGCCATTTCCGAGTGCTCTGGGAGCGTTCAGAAGCTTTGTATTTCATCATCTGGGGTGTTTTTGTGTGTAAAATTAACCCCAGATCTGTTTGATTGCTTTTTATTAATTCATGTAAAATGCAGTGAAATTATCTTGATTGAATTTCAAAACACGTTTCAAATAAAATTGCCATTGCCTCGTTTTCTTTAATGTAAACCTTTCGCTGTCCAGAGTTGCGTCTCTTGGGCACGCCAGAAAGCTATGATTGTGGGTTCGAATCCCGGTTTGTTCTGATTATGTTTCTAGGTTTGTTAGCACCATACCCGTGCTCGTGGGTTTCACTGAAGAGGTAATCGTCTAAGACCTGCATCACTTCGGGCTTTCCTCCCACATTAAGCTGACACGCCATGATATAACTAGAATACTGTTAAAAACTCACTCACTCACCAATGTATACCTTTGTCAGCAGTAGCTTTGACGGTTATTGTTCTGGTTGTTATCGTCCGGGTTGGAATTATCTAGATGGTAATAATGCCAGTGGTTATTGTCCGGGTGGTAATTTTTCGTGTTATCCAGTTGAGATTTATCAGGTAGTAAATGACCGGTGGTAAATGGATTGTTTCACCACGATAACAATTCGCGTTCAACATAGCAGTAAACATGACATGAAAACATCTTACGCCTTTCAATATGGTTATCATATTACAGTAACTATCCTGCTGTGGTAGAATCCTGCGTCCCTATTACTAATACCATGAGATCGTTTTAGAAACGTGATTTGTACTTGCACATTGTGAAAAGAAAATTTTCCGTATAGGATTTATTCGAACAGTTCAAATGTATGGAGAAAAACGTCAATAGAAATCAACGGTCATGCCAGTCAATTATAAAAAATAGCAGATCGACGACGTGGTACCATGAGCAATTTGAAATGTTTGAACAGACCTGGAACCCCACTTCCGCCAGGGCTGAATTCGGCGGAAATCAGGTGTAATGCTGCTCCTGGTGTATTTAACTAAGTGCACAAAATCTGTGTCAGGCACCGTAAAAACTAGGCCGTGGGAAATAATAGTGTTAGAACTGTATGCGTGTCTATTCTTCTCCTAAATATTACAGTAAATTGAAGCCTGTAAAATGGGTTTACGGTTTTTCATATATATCAGAGGTGATCGGACCTAACAGTTGAGGCTGGTGTAAATTACGTACCCAAGGAGGGTAATGATGTGAGATAATACCAATTGTGGCTGTTTGTTTGTTTGTTGTTTAACGACACAGTCAACAATATTCCAGCTATATGACGGCGAGTGGTAGTAGTAGTAGTAGTAGTAGTAGTAGTAGTAGTAGTAGTAGTAGAAGTAGTGGTAGTAGTAGTAGTTGTAGTAGTAGTAGTAGTAGTAGTAGTTGTAGTAGTTTGTTTGTTTGTTGTTTAACTACACAGTCAACAATATTCCAGCTATAACACGGCGAGTGGTAGTAGTAGTAGTAGTTGTAGTAGTAGTAGTAGTAGTAGTAGTAGTAGTAGTAGTAGTTGTAGTAGTTGTAGTAGTAGTTGTAGTAGTAGTAGTAGTAGTAGTAGTTGTAGTAGTATGTTTGTTTGTTGTTTAACGCCTCACTCAGGAATAAACCAGCTATATGGCGGCGGTGTGTAAAATATCGAGTCAAATTGGGAGGTACCAAACCTAAGGCACCGAGAACGATGGGGAGTCGGACAACTTGGTACTTGGGATGCATGGATGACCTTTCGAAGCGAGGTCAGCATATGTGCCATGTTTTTCCTAAATATTGTCAGGCACATTAGTGTCAAAAGGGACAGAAATATAAATGATTTCATTGGATTTATCAAAAAGAACAAGATCAGCTTTGTTGGCCTGGATAGTTCCAAGGCTAAATACGGGCCTATTCCAAAGAATTTTGTTTTTCATTTTCATTTACATTAATCATTGTCTATCCATCAAGATGAATGCCTCATGAGTAAACTTCTCACATAATCTCAATACTGTGACACGAATGGCAGTCAAAATGAAGATTCAAGAATTCTGTGATCAGCGATCTGTGATCTGTGATAGAAGCACGATGTCACTATGTGCAATCCGAGAGATTGTAGCCACTAAGAGGACCGACGTTCATGTTGGAGTTAATTTTAACCCTAATCTTGTCTTACTAGAAAGTCAACATTTCGTATTCTTTTTTTATTTAGAAGCGAATCCTCATCCTTGCATTTCATTAAATATATAAGCGACATTAACCCTTTCCAGATTTACACATCAACCGCCACAGTACGAATGGTGTTATCCGAAACCCCTCTCACGAATGATAACATTGTGGATGGAATAAAATAATAACTCTTCATATTTCTCAACATAATCCCTTAATCCCTTAATCCCGACTTGTTGTTCTGGGCGATCGTCATGGAAAGTTAAGGATCCGGCTTAACGAGTTCCTTAATGACACTTTAGTTTGATTGACAGCACTATCCCGCGGAAATTCCTCATTTTCCGCCAAGAAACAGTTTTTACACGCAACGTCCTGCTGTTGTTGACGACCCTGTCGCAGTAGACGACCACGTCGCGATGTATTCAACACAGACACCACCCAGGACCAGCCTGGGGCCAACATAAATCAAGAAGCCGTCACTGCTTCCCCCTCCTCCCTCCCCCACGCGACATTAACACTCAGTCTTGTTCAACAATGGCGAGGAGTAGAGCACTTTCCTCACATACACCTGAACTGAACCTAATAGGACTTATGTAACACAAGACGGATTTCTCAGCTGAAGAGGTAAGCCTACTATCCCTAATGTGGTGAGGTATTACCTGTTTTACTATATTAAGCTGATAATGTACACCATTCAATCTGTAACTGCACACTAACATTATCACTAACGTAACGGGGCAAGTTATCCAAACTAATTATGATTTCAACTGAATTTAAAGATACACCATCAATGTATATTCACAGATATTGTTTATTCTGTCTATAACAACATACGTTTGTTGTATCTTTTGGGCTGTGACATTTTTAAACATATAATGTGTGGATGTTAATATAACATATACAGTATATCTACAATGCCAACGATTACGACCTGAGTGTAATACATGTTCACATGGGTGTGGATGAGACGTGAGGCTTTTACAAAGGTGGATACTATGCTCGTGGGTTCCTATATAAAAGTAGAGATGTCATTTTTCTCCAGATGAAAGTAATGCCTTTTATACAAATTACTAATTTGACATGTACCATGAGATTGAATTTACAATTTACGTTACGAATGACACATACGTGTACATTCTCACACAAGAAGCTTATAAATAGATAATTCATACAGAAAAGGATTTATGTGTGGTGTATCATCGACATGTGATAAGCTGCGTGGTTGTCGTCGGTACATACATCTCAATATATCAGACGCAGTCGTTTGAAGATTGAACCATCGTCAGAGTGATTATCATCGTTGACATATAGCCTGTCACCCGTAGGCACTGAAAAACTAAATAAAACGTTTAATCACTCTGTTTCTGCTCTAGACTTACTTAGAGAGTGGGGAAATATGATTATAGATTATAAAACACGATCATGCCTGGCAACACTGGAACACTAAAACTGGAACATGTTATAAAAGCATTGACTTTCACGGATTCTTCCAAAACGTTTGATCATATCTGCAAACGCATAATACATCTACAGGTTCTGTCTTCAGCAATCCGTGCTTGTCGTTAGAGGCGACTAAAGAGATTGAATGGTAAGTTTCGCTGACTTGGTTGAAGCATTTCATCGTATTCCAATTGCGTGGATCGATGCTCATGATGTCAATCACTGGATTGTCTGGTCCAAACTGGATTATTTACAGACCGCCGTCATATAGCTGGCATATTGCTAAACACCAAACAAACAAAAAGGTTCTGTTGAAAGTAAAAGACACAATTGTCAAAAAGCGAACTGTCGTGTAAACAAGTAAAGCGATAAGGTAGTCGTGGATGCACCAAACTGTCAATAAGCTGTCAACTATAGAGTGGGAGATATATCAGTCAAGTTCATCCAGTCAGATGCGAGTAAACAACTTGTCAAGGAATAACCTGTGTGACCTTACTTGTGACGTGAGTCGAGCGTTTGTGATTGGAGACAGACAGTCCATGTAAAATGGCCGGCATGATACAATACCGCCATGAATAAAATTCTAATCACCTTTCGAAATAAGTGCATGGGATTTCTTACAGTGTTATATAATTACACGTTGGGTCTCAGGTATGGTTGCAGTGTCATCATAAACATACAATATGTGTCAGGTCTTCTTGCAGTGTAATGAACATACAACGTGTCCCAGGTATTCTTGAACTATAATGAACATACAGTCGGTGTCAGGTATTCTTGCAGTGTAGTGAACATACACTGTGTCCCAGGTATTCTTGCAGTGTAGTGAACATACAATGTGTCCCAGGTATTCTTGCAGTGTAGTGAACATACAATGTGTCCCAGGTATTCTTGTAGTGTAGTGAACATACAATGTGTCCCAGGTCTTGTTGTAGCGTAGTGAACATACACTGTGTCCCAGGTATTCTTGCAGTGTAGTGAACATACAATGTGTCCCAGATATTCTTGCAGTGTAGTGAACATACAATGTGTCCCAGGTATTCTTGCAGTGTAGTGAACATACAACGTGTCCCAGGTAATCTTGAGCATGTGTTTATGAATCACTATCAAATAGCGATGATGCCAGGTGTTCGCGAAAAGGTGGGCGTATCCTGCCCCGCCGGTGGCACCAGTCGCAAACACGTGCACAAAAACACGGGAACATAAGCAGCGGAACAAAGTAGCTGGAACGTAGGAGAGAGAGAGGCTTCACACAAGATACTGAAGCCATTTCCGAGTGCTCTGGGAGCGTTCAGAAGCTTTGTATTTCATCATCTGGGGTGTTTTTGTGTGTAAAATTAACCCCAGATCTGTTTGATTGCTTTTTATTAATTCATGTAAAATGCAGTGAAATTATCTTGATTGAATTTCAAAACACGTTTCAAATAAAATTGCCATTGCCTCGTTTTCTTTAATGTAAACCTTTCGCTGTCCAGAGTTGCGTCTCTTGGGCACGCCAGAAAGCTATGATTGTGGGTTCGAATCCCGGTTTGTTCTGATTATGTTTCTAGGTTTGTTAGCACCATACCCGTGCTCGTGGGTTTCACTGAAGAGGTAATCGTCTAAGACCTGCATCACTTCGGGCTTTCCTCCCACATTAAGCTGACACGCCATGATATAACTAGAATACTGTTAAAAACTCACTCACTCACTAATGTATACCTTTGTCAGCAGTAGCTTTGACGGTTATTGTTCTGGTTGTTATCGTCCGGGTTGGAATTATCTAGATGGTAATAATGCCTGTGGTTATTGTCCGGGTGGTAATTTTTCGTGTTATCCAGTTGAGATTTATCAGGTAGTAAATGACCGGTGGTAAATGGATTGTTTCACCACGATAACAATTCGCGTTCAACATAGCAGTAAACATGACATGAAAACATCTTACGCCTTTCAATATGGTTATCATATTACAGTAACTATCCTGCTGTGGTAGAATCCTGCGTCCCTATTACTAATACCATGAGATCGTTTTAGAAACGTGATTTGTACTTGCACATTGTGAAAAGAAAATTTTCCGTATAGGATTTATTCGAACAGTTCAAATGTATGGAGAAAAACGTCAATAGAAATCAACGGTCATGCCAGTCAATTATAAAAAATAGCAGATCGACGACGTGGTACCATGAGCAATTTGAAATGTTTGAACAGACCTGGAACCCCACTTCCGCCAGGGCTGAATTCGGCGGAAATCAGGTGTAATGCTGCTCCTGGTGTATTTAACTAAGTGCACAAAATCTGTGTCAGGCACCGTAAAAACTAGGCCGTGGGAAATAATAGTGTTAGAACTGTATGCGTGTCTATTCTTCTCCTAAATATTACAGTAAATTGAAGCCTGTAAAATGGGTTTACGGTTTTTCATATATATCAGAGGTGATCGGACCTAACAGTTGAGGCTGGTGTAAATTACGTACCCAAGGAGGGTAATGATGTGAGATAATACCAATTGTGGCTGTTTGTTTGTTTGTTGTTTAACGACACAGTCAACAATATTCCAGCTATATGACGGCGAGTGGTAGTAGTAGTGGTAGTAGTAGTAGTAGTAGTAGTAGTAGTTTGTTTGTTGTTTAACGACACAGTCAACAATATTCCAGCTATATGACGGCGAGTGGTAGTAGTAGTAGTAGTAGTAGTAGTAGCAGTAGTAGTAGTAGTAGTAGTAGTAGTAGTAGTAGTAGTAGTAGTAGTAGTAGAAGTAGTAGTAGTAGTAGTAGTTGTAGTAGTAGTAGTAGTAGTAGTAGTAGTTGTAGTAATTTTTTTTTTGTATTTTAACTACACAGTCAACAATATTCCAGCTATAACACGGCGAGTGGTAGTAGTAGTAGTAGTAGTAGTAGTAGTAGTAGTAGTAGTAGTAGTTGTAGTAGTTTGTTTGTTTGTTGTTTAACGACACAGTCAACGCTATTCCAGCTATATGACGGCGAGTGGTAGTAGTAGTAGAAGTAGTAGTAGTAGTAGTTGTAGTAGTAGTAGTAGTAGTAGTAGTAGTAGTAGTAGTAGTAGTAGTTGTAGTAGTATGTTTGTTTGTTGTTTAACATCTCACTCAGGAATAAACCAGCTATATGGCGGCGGTGTGTAAAAAATCGAGTCAAATTGGGAGGTACCAAACCTAAGGCACCGAGAACGATGGGGAGTCGGACAACTTGGTACTTGGGATGCATGGATGACCTTTCGAAGCGAGGTCAGCATATGTGCCATGTTTTTCCTAAATCTTGTCAGGCACATTAGTGTCAAAAGGGACAGAAATATAAATGATTTCATTGGATTTATCAAAAAGGACATGATCAGGTTTGTTGGCCTGGTTAGGTCCGAGGCTAAATACGGGCCTATTCCAAAGAATTTTGTTTATCATTTTCATTTACATTAATCATTGTCTATCCATCAAGAAAAATGCCTCAAGTGTAAACTTCTCACATAATCTCAAAACTGTGACACGAATGGCAGTCAAAATGAAGATTCAAGAATTCTGTGATCAGCGATCTGTGATCTGTGATGGAAGCACGATGTCACTATGTGCAATCCGAGAGATTGTAGCCACTACAGAGGTCCGACGTTCATGTTGGAGTTAATTTTAACCCTAATCTTGTCTTACTAGCAAGTCAACATTTCGTATTCTATTTTTATTTAGAAGCGACACCTCATCCTTGCATTTCATTAAATATATAAGCGATATTAACCCTTTCCAGATTTACACATCAACCGCCACAGTACGAATGGTGTTATCCGAAACCCCTCTCACGAATGATAACATTGTGGATGGAATAAGGTAATAACTCTTCATATTTCTCAACCTAATCCCTTAATCCCTTAATCCCGACTTGTTGTTCTGGGCGATCGTCATGGAAACATAAGGATCCGGCTTAACGAGTTCCTTAATGACACTTTAGTTTGATTGACAGCACTATCCCGCGGAAATTCCTCATTTTCCGCCAAGAAACAGTTTTTACAAGCAACGTCCTGCTGTTGTTGACGACCCTGTCGCAGTAGACGACCACGTCGTGATGTATTCAACACAGACACCACCCAGGACCAGCCTGAGGCCAACATAAATCAAGAAGCCGTCACTGCTTCCCCCTCCTCCCTCCCCCACGCGACATTAACACTCAGTCTTGTTCAACAATGGCGAGGAGTAGAGCACTTTCCTCACACACACCTGAACTGAACCTAATAGGACTTATGTAACACAAGACGGATTTCTCAGCTGAAGAGGTAAGCCTACTATCCCTAATGTGGTGAGGTATTACCTATTTTACTATATTAAGCTGATAATGTACACCATTCAATCTGTAACTGCACACTAACATTATCACTAACGTAACGGGGCAAGTTATCCAAACTAATTATGATTTCAACTGAATTTAAAGATACACCATCAATGTATATTCACAGATATTGTTTATTCTGTCTTTAACAACAAACATTTGTTGTATCTTTTGGGCTGTGACATTTTTAAACATATAATGTGTGGATGTTAATATAACATATACAGTATATCTACAATGCCAACGATTACGACCTGAGTGTAATAAATGTTCGCATGGGTGTGGATGAGACGTGAGGCTTTTACAAAGGTGGATACTATGCTCGTGGGTTCCTATATAAAAGTAGAGATGTCATTTTTCTCCAGATGAAAGTAATGCCTTTTATACAAATTACTAACTTGACATGTACCATGAGATTGAATTAACAATTTACGTTACGAATGACACATACGTGTACATTCTCACACAAGAAGCTTATAAATGTAATTCATACAGAAAAGGATTTATGTGTGGTGTATCATCGACATGTGATAAGCTGCGTGGTTGTCGTCGGTACATACATCTCAATATAGCAGACGCAGTCGTTTGAAGATTGAACCATCGTCAGAGTGATTATCATCGTTGACATATAGCCTGTCACCCGTAGGCACTGAAAAACTAAATAAAACGTTTAATCACTCTGTTTCTGCTCTAGACTTACTTAGAGAGTGGGGAAATATGATTATAGATTATAAAACACGATCATGCCTGGCAACACTGGAACACTAAAACTGGAACATGTTATAAAAGCATTGACTTTCACGGATTCTACCAAAACGTTTGATCATATCTGCAAACGCATAATACATCTACAGGTTCTGTCTTCAGCAATCCGTGCTTGTCGTTAGAGGCGGCTAAAGAGATTGAATGGTAAGTTTCGCTGACTTGGTTGAAGTATTTCATCGTATTCCAATTGCGTGGATCGATGCTCATGATGTCAATCACTGGATTGTCTGGTCCAAACTAGATTATTTACAGACCGCCGTCATATAGCTGGAATATTGCTAAACACCAAACAAACAAAAATGTTCTGTTGAAAGTAAAAGACACAATTGTCAAAAAGCGAAGTAATCCTAACTGTCGTGTAAACAAGTAAAGCGATAAGGTAGTCGTGGATGCACCAAACTGTCAATAAGCTGTCAACTATAGAGTGGGAGATATATCCGTCAAGTTCATCCAGTCAGATGCGAGTAAACAACTTGTCAAGGAATAACCTGTGTGATCTTACTTGTGACGTGAGTCGAGCGTTTGTGATTGGAGACAGACAGTCCATGTAAAATGGCCGGCATGATACAATACCGCCATGAATAAAATTCTAATCACCTTTCGAAATAAGTGCATGGGATTTCTTACAGTGTTATATATTTACACGTTGGGTCTCAGGTATAGTTGCAGTGTCATCATAAACATACAATATGTGTCAGGTCTTCTTGAAGTGTAATGAACATACACTGTGTCCCAGGTATTCTTGAAGTATCATGAACATACACTGTGTCCCAGGTATTCTTGCAGTGTAGTGAACATACAACGTGTCCCAGGTATTCTTGAAGTATAATGAACATACAGTATGTGTCAGGTATTCTTGTAGTCTAGTGAACATACACTGTGTCCCGGGTATTCTTGTAGTGTAGTGAACATACAACGTGTCCCAGGTATTCTTGAAGTATAATGAACATACAGTATGTGTCAGGTATTCTTGTAGTGTAGTGAACATACACTGTGTCCCGGGTATTCTTGTAGTGTAGTGAACATACACTGTGTCCCAGGTATCCTTGCAGTGTAGTGAACATACAATGTGTCCCAGGTATTCTTGCAGTGTAGTGAACACACAACGTGTCCCAGATATTCTTGCAGTGTAGTGAACATACAGTGTGTCCCAGGTATTCTTGTAGTGTAGTGAACATACAACATGTCCCAGGTATTCTTGCAGTGTAGTGAACATACAACATGTCCCAGGTATTCTTGCAGTGTAGTGAACATACAACATGTCCCAGGTATTCTTGCAGTGTAGTGAACATACAACATGTCCCAGGTATTCTTGCAGTGTAGTGAACATACAACATGTCCCAGGTATTCTTGTAGTGCAGTGAACATACAACATGTCCTAGGTATTCTTGTAGTGTAGTGAACATACAACATGTCCCAGGTATTCTTGCAGTGTAGTGAACATACAACATGTCCCAGGTATTCTTGTAGTGCAGTGAACATACAACATGTCCCAGGTATTCTTGCAGTGTAGTGAACATACAACATGTCCCAGGTATTCTTGTAGTGCAGTGAACATACACTGTGTCCCGGGTAATCTTGCAGTGTAGTGAACATACAACATGTCCTAGGTATTCTTGTAATGTAGTGAACATACAACATGTCCCAGGTATTCTTGTAGTGTAGTGAACATACACTGTGTCCCGGGTAATCTTGCAGTGTAGTGAACATACAACATGTCCTAGGTATTCTTGTAGTGCAGTGAACATACAACATGTCCCAGGTATTCTTGTAGTGTAGTGAACATACAACATGCCCCAGGTATTCTTGTAGTGTAGTGAACATACAATGTGTCCCAGGTAATCTTGTAGTGCAGTGAACATACAACATGTCCCAGGTATTCTTGTAGTGTAGTGAACATACAACGTGTCCCAGGTATTCTTGCAGTGCAGTGAACATACAACATGTCCCAGGTATTCTTGTAGTGTAGTGAACATACACTGTGTCCCGGGTATTCTTGTAGTGCAGTGAACATACAACATGTCCCAGGTATTCTTGTAGTGTAGTGAACATACAACATGCCCCAGGTATTCTTGTAGTGTAGTGAACATACAATGTGTCCCAGGTAATCTTGTAGTGCAGTGAACATACAACATGTCCCAGGTATTCTTGTAGTGTAGTGAACATACAACGTGTCCCAGGTATTCTTGCAGTGTAGTGAACATACAACATGTCCCAGGTATTCTTGTAGTGTAGTGAACATACAACATGTCCCAGGTATTCTTGTAGTGTAGTGAACATACAACGTGTCCCAGGTATTCCTGCAGTGTAGTGAACATACAACATGTCCCAGGTATTCTTGTAATGTAGTGAACATACTCTGTGTCCCAGGTATTCTTGTAGTGTAGTGAACATACACTGTGTCCCAGGTATTATTGCAGTGTAACGAACATACAATGTGTGTCTCAGGTAATCTTGCAGTGCAGTCACAGGTATTCACGCAGAACACATTAACCTGTATAATTTCAGAAATGCCATATGCCTCAGGGAAACAGCCATGAATTACATCATACATAATGTTTCCCAGGTTTCCATGTAGTGTATTGTGCATGCCTTGTATTAACCCACGTATTCAAACAGTGTAATTGACACACATTGCTATGTCCAAGGTATATGTGTGCACACTCTTCTGCCCTACCCACCAACACAGACGTATTAGAGAGTTGTCTCTGTAATACATTGCTATTCCCTTGTGTGATCCCATTGTGCTTTTGTTGTCAACCTCATCAATGTGAAATCTATACCTCGAAGCTCTGATGCCACCTCCATAGAAGGTCGTGTCAGAAACCTGGGCGGATGCTAACATTCCGATTAAAGAAGCATGTGGTTTCTTGAGCCAGTCATATGTCAGCTTTCTTAAACGCTTCATTTCCTTCCCACCTCGATTCGTAAATTTTGATTTTTGCAAAAGAACATGCATATTTATCCTGCATATATAAAATACGCACACCAATAATACGGCGCGGTTTTATCTTTTGCAATCGGAACTTATCGATTGTGTTCGTTTTCGAGATACAAAAAATTAATGTGCTTATCTGTATGCTTCGTTAACGTGTACCAAGAATTTAGAAGCAACGATGGGCTGAGTAGAAGTCACCTACAAAGATGTCCTCAGGTATTCATACAGAGAGGTATCGAATTGCAGTAAATGGTCTGATTTTAATTAGATTGCTTTTGTTGTTAACCTAGAAATGATGAATCGAAAGAGAGACAGACAATGTTGGTGTAACGTTTAAGCAGGAACGTGTCATGTTGTCACAATTAAGATGGACTTGGTTTATACAACATGGAGAAGGAACGCGTAAAGAACCTTGAGATGTTGAAAGTTAGATTTGGACGGCAAGACAAGAAGTTAAAGATCGTCAGAGACACGGTTGAAAGATTAACGCGTCAATCGTGTTATTAACACAAATATTGCTCTCAGAAATAGACAATGAGGAATGTAATTACAACTTGACATTTGTCTCTGTGGAACGTTACAAAACATAGCTATAGTCGAGCGATTAAACGTGTCATTGTACATATATTCATATCAATACGCATGTAATTATATTACCGTGCTAGAACAGATTGTTCTGCCTAGCCTAACTACATTCTGAACGTTGTGATCTATTCTGCTCAAAACCAAACTTAATAGAATCACGTTGACATGATTCGATTTAAACCAGGTATAGTCGATGTTGGAAATGGTATTGGTAGTAGGTTGTCATTATACTGACATGCGGATTCAAGCATTTTGAGATATATTGATTAGTCTGTTAAAACGTCCGTGTTGACCTTTAAAGGTCCTCATTTATGCAAATACAGTTTCCTGTAGATGATTTGACAGTGAAACAGAAACACTCCTGTGGAATATATTATTATGAAAACTTGATAATATCCCGGTTCAGTGGCTCATAACGGGGTTCCGGGGGACTAATGTCTAGTGTACGTGTAGAAATATCTCCATCAATACCGACTGTTTCAGGAGACTTATGTCTAGTGTCCGTGTAGAAATAGCCTCCTTCAATACAGACTATTTCAGATTATTTATGTCTCGTGTACGTGTAGGGGAACGGGTGGCCCAGTCGTCTAAGGCGCCGCAATTCCTCCCTTGGGCACGCCAGAAACCTACGATTAAGATTTTAAATCTCAGATTCGTCCTCAGGATGTTTCTGGGTTTGTCAGCACCATACCCGTGCTCGTGGATTTCACCGAAGTGGTAAACATCTGCGATCTGCATCACTTCGGGCTTTCCTCCCACATTAAGCTGACACGCCGCGATATAACTGGTATACTGTTCAAAGTGGCGTTAAATCCAACCCACTCACTCTAAATTGTACGTTTTGGAATATCCTGCTTCAATACCGACTATTCCGAGTGACTTAATTCTAGTTTTAGTGTATGAATCCCATGCTTCAATACCAACTGTTCCGGGTGACTTAATTCTAGTTTTATTGTATGAATCCCATGCTTCAAATCCGACCATTCAAGGTGACTTAATTCTAGTTTTAGTGTAAACATACTATGCTTCAATACCGACTATTCCAGCTGACTTAATTCTAGTTTTAGTGTAAAAATACTATGCTTCAATACCGACTATTCCAGCTGACTTAATTCTAGTTTTAGTGTATAAATACTATGCTTCAATGCCGACTATTCCAGCTGACTTAATTCTAGTTTTAGTGTAAAAATACCATGCTTCAATACCGACTATTCCAAGTGACATTATTCTAGTTTCAGCGTGTGAATACCATGCTTCAATACCGACTATTCCAGATGACCTAGTTCTAGTTTTAGTGTATGAATACCATGCTTCAATACCGACTATTCATAGTGACTTAGTTTTAGTTTTAGTGTATAAATTCCATGCTTCAATACCGACTATTCATGGTGACTTAATTCTAGTTTTAGTGTATGAATACCATGCTTATATACCGACTATTCCAGGTGGCCTAATTCTAGTTTTAGTGTCTGAATACCATGCTTCAATACTGACTATTCCAGGTGACTTAATTCTAGTTTTAGTGTATGAATACCATGCTTCAATACCAACTATTCCAGGTGGCTTAATTCTAGTTTTAGTGTATGAATACCATGCTTCAATACCGACTATTCCGGGCGACTTAATTTTAGTTTTAGTGTATGAATACCATGCTTCGATATCGACTATTCATGGTGACCTAATTCTAGTTTCAGTATATGAATACCATGCTTCGATATCGACTATTCATGGTGACCTAATTCTAGGTTCAGTATATGAATACCATGCTTCAATACCGACTATTCCGGGCGACTTAATTTTAGTTTTAGTGTATGAATACCATGCTTCGATATCGACTATTCATGGTGACCTAATTCTAGTTTCAGTATATGAATAACATGCTTCAATACCGACTATTCCATGCGGCTTATGCCTAATGCCCAGGTAACAAGTGACTCGTGCCCCTGAAGATATGCTTCTTCCCAACGTCAGAACGTTCCTAAGTAACCTAGCTCTACATTGAAAACACAGTATGTTTACCTCCTTTCTACCATGACTAATTAAAACGAGAACTCTATTGAGTGAAGCGGCATGGGTTGAGTCCAGTGTTTTGAGTGGGTTGTGATGTGAATTACGTTTTCACCGACAACACCCTTAAAACAAAATATGGCGCTGTATATGCTCAAACAGTTTGTTTACACCGTAATACTTCACTCGAACATATGACAGGCATTGCAAGCATATAAGCATGGATTGGACCGCAACTTTGCATTTTGTGACCTATAATTGTAGATATAATTATATAAATATGCCTACCGACAAGACTGAAAAAAGTACTATTTTGTGAATATTAGCTTCCGCGGTGATGCGGCCGTCCAACAATCTATTTCAATCATAGTGGGTTTATTGTGATTTAATAGCCACTGATTGACCAATCAGAATCGAGTTATTTCCCAACTCATAAAAGAATACCGATTAAACCCACGGTGCCAATCATGCCGTAGATAGTAGAAGCACCATGGACTGTTAATAAACATTAAATTCAATCCTCAGTGTCTCTATGTCGGTATTAGGAAACAATTCACATGTTCTGTCTCTTTCTAGGTAAACAATTAACTTGCCTTTACATGTGTTTGTGACGGTTTCACTGGTGGGGCAAGATACGCACACCTTTTCGCGAATTCCTGGTATCATTACTATTTGATAGTGATTCATAAACTCATGTTCGTGATCGTACAATCGTACAATCGATTCTGCTTTTTGCAGAGGTTTCTATTGAATATGGAAAGGGTTTTGTGGCTTTATTTATTTCATTAGGCATTTGTGTAAAATGCGACAGGAATGTTCAAACTTTCTAGCGTTTAAGCGAGAATAAAAACATACTCTGGTTGAAGTACCGGGGAACCAATAATAGTATTTCACGCGCTTGGAACTTGGGTCATTATTTGTGTTGTTTTTTTTTTCCCATGTGTGATTGTTGGGATCGACAGTGCTAATCTAAATCTAAAGCTTTCAAGTTCCTCATTTTTACGATCGGAGGATCTGTAAACCGAGTGACACAATTTATGCTGCTGTGTGAACTTTTACGGAAGACCCCAGTGAACGAATGGCGCGTGTGTTCGTCATAAATGAGTGATAGGCTAGGATGGTAACATAATACCGCAGGGTGGTAAAGAGTGCATGGGGTTACAAATTAAAATGGTTTGGGGAAGTACGTTTTAGATTTTCATTACCTTCTCTGTAGTAATGTCTGACATACACATATGATCACACACACGCTCTTTGTAAAGAAAGAGTGTGAAAATTAGGATAATATATACAAAAGTCTTTAAATTGATAGTGCTAATTTTGCCACAAATAAAACCTTGCCTATAATTTCATTTTGTTCTTGACAGATGACGCGCCTATCCCTAGTGCACCTGCTGACCTTTGCGTTGATTCACGTGACCTCACCGAGGACTGTCCCATCATCCTTCACGGTAGACGAGGACGACCTACTTGGGAAACTTACACCAAGACGAGCGCCCGTTATCTACCCACCCCTTCCGTTTAACCCCAGACATATTCAGCCTGATGAAATGACGATTCAACCGACAGTTATCTCCCCTTCTCCGTCTTCACTCTTCATGTATACCTCTCAGCAGAGTCAGATATATTTCCCCAATACGGTGAGAACTATATTTATATATACATCATCGTCATCATCTATGATGTCTTCGTTACAACCATCATCATCAGCCACAGATGTAGGTCCCCTAGAAACACCATCAGTGTCGACATCAGTTTCAGCCACATCATCCAGCATCAATCACAACGTGATAAGATGTCCTACACCCATTGTGGCACAGCTGGAAACGTGGTCTAGCACCGCCACAACCTCTGAGACACGGTTAACAATAACTCCTACAAAGACAATACACCGCACAGTCAGGACAGCATCCCAGGTAGAACCTGAACCCCATCCTCACCCAACGTCAGCCACATCATCAGCTAGTCTTCCAGGACAATCGACCACCTCGTCCATCTCACAGTCCGCAACCACAATGATGGCTGACAGTCTCCCCCGAACACCACAACCGTCAAGGAGTGTCACAGAAACGTCCACAGGGTCACCACAGCCTGGTATACAAGGTTCCAAGACGATTCTTGCTTCAGCACCAATGCTATCACATCTTTCACAAAGCACCAGAATGAACACGAACGTTGTGTCCATATTTCCAACAGCAACACATACGATACAAGCGGGGACAACCAGTGAGGATTCAGAGTGTGGGTCGACCTATCTCCCAGGGGACACTCGTCGCACTTTTGAACCCTACTTCAGGCCATCGGTTTCTCTTTTTCCGAGTAACCTGCACACAGAGAGCTTTGACCTGGATGGGGAATACCTCTCTGTCAAGACTCTTAATTTTCAATCTGACTCACTTACAGCACCAACCGTCTTCAGTTCGACGTCCGGCACTCTGGATCAAAGCTCATTGCTCCCTACCCCTGACTACATAGTTGTGAGTAGGTCTTATGGACACCGGTTTGATTCAAGCAGAGCACCAGAAATGACACAAAGCTTTGATGTTGCAGCGGATCGGAACCATGGTTTGCACATCAGCAGGAAGACAGATGTAAGTCGCCTTCCTCAAGTTCCTGAACCACTGCTGGGCTTAAACGCCGCCTTGAATGAACTTTCAGGCGTCAGTCATAAAGCAGACGCAACGAGCTCAAGTAATAAGTCACTCTTGTCGATTCTTTCCAAAGCGCTGAGCTCCATGACAACCGAACCGTCACACCACACCAACAGCATACCCTTCCGAGCCAGTGACATGTTCGGTAGCTACCTAGCTCAGGGTGCTGGTGGAATTCATCCTCGTTCTCTGCCTGGTGATCTGAGTCAGACCCAGTTCACGGATATTACTAGCAACTCATTACCCCAATCTTCCAAACAGAATTTTCAACGGGATGAATTTTCTACTACAACGTCCAAACGAACGACCGAAGAAGGTCCTCTGAGACAACTGCTCGGTGGCATGGAAGCATTAGCCTCAGGGAGGACTGTAGCCACTGTGACATCAACAGAGACAACCCCATCGACAACAACAACCACTACAACTACGTCTACCACTACAACGACGACTACTACAAGCGCTAAGCCATTAATTCCTGATATCTGCCAGACGCTGTGTCGATTGTAAGTATGCCTCGACAGGTAACTCGATAACACATAGTAATAAAATGACAAGATTAGTTTTCAAACACACTTTCCAGAACATAACGTTCACACATTTGCTTGAGGGTTTGATTTTGTAGAAAAATATTTGTTCGAGTTCCTAACTAGCAGTGTTAACTTACGTGTATGTTTGAGGGGAGGTCGGGTAGCCTAGTGGTTAAAACGTTCGCTCGTCACGCCGAAGACCGGGTTCGATTCCAGACATGGGTACAATGTGTCAAGCCCATTCCTGGTGTTCCTCCCCGTGATATTGCTGGACTAGTGCTAAAAGCGGAGTAAAACCAAACTCACTCACACCTATGCTTGGAGTATGCGATCTCGGCAAGTTATGTTTGCCTTGAGAGACAACTAAACGATGTAGACGTTTATCGCTGTGAAGTTGTCGGACACGGATCATACTGAGTGAGTGAGTTGGGTTTAACGCCGCTTTCAACAGTATTCCAGTTATACCACGGCGTGTCAGCTTAATGTGGGAGGAAAGCCCCAAGTGATGCAGGTTTGGACGTTTACCACTTCGGTGAAACCCACGAGCACGGGTGTGGTGCTGAAAAACCTAGAAGCATAATCGGGGCGAACCGGGATTCGAACCCACAATCATAGGTTTCTGGCATGCCCAAGGGACGCAACTCTGCACAGCGAATCGCGGCGCCTTAGATGACTTGGCCATCCGTGCCCCTGACACGGATCATAAGCTGCGTGAATCGTGACTTTTCGGGGACACACCTCTGTGAAACGAGATGTTGCCAAAGGTGGAACTGAATTACATTAAGACCAGGTACCCCAATCGACATAATTATCCCACCCCAAGTGTAGTCCCGGGTGGATTACGGTCCCCAGCAACCCATGTGTATTATGAGAGCCAATTTAAAGGCGGGATCGTTGGTCAAACCTGTGATTTAGCTAATATGTGTGCCATCGTTCCCCCATGACGTTGCTCTTTGCTCATGCTTTTAATCATCGGTTTCTATCAAGTCGATACTCTAATATTTAAATATTGTGTCATTTAGTAAGACTGTGGCGTGAAACCATTCACTCAATCACCGAGTGTAGATTGTGGGTTAAACTCTTCATACAAAACGGGTAGTAAGGTGTCAGTGTAGCAGGGCGTGGAGTCATTCCACAGATGACATCCTTACCTTGTCAGCTTGCTGACGGGGTTTATCTCTTTGGTCATGTGGACAAGGCGTCCGACCTCGGATCAGAAGGTCCGTGGTTCGAATCCCATCACGGGACTCGGAAATGTTATGGCCGCTACATAAGTACCGCTTCAGTAATACAGGTAGTAAAGCACGACCACAATGCGTTGCATTAAAGTGCAGCTTGGGAGGCATGGGTGGCTCAGTCGTCTAAGACGCCCGTATTCGCTGTGCAGAGTTGCGTCCCCTGGGCACGCCAGAAACCTATGATTGTGGGGCCGAAGCCCGGTTCGCCCCATTATGTGTCTAAGTCTGTCTGCGCCATACCCGTGCTCGTGGGTTTCACCGAAGTGGTAAAAGTCTGAGACCTACATCTCTTCGGGCTTTCCTCCCAGATTAAGCTGACACGCCGTGATATAACAGGTTAACTGTTCAAAGCGGCGTTACAACTTCAGTCACCGACTACTCGTGAAGATCCCAGTAGGTCTTCAGCAACACATACTTGCCGTAAAAGGCGACGAACGGGATCGGAAGGTCAGGCTCGATGACTTGGTTGATGCATGTCATCGTATCCCAATTGCGTGGATCGTTGCTCATGACATCAATCACTGAATTGTCTTATCCGGACTCGATAATTTACAGACCGCGGTCATATAGCTGGAATATTGCTGAGTGCGTTGTTAAACAACAAACAAACACTGACAAAGTCACTTCTTCAGTCATACACTGTGAATAAAAACTACAACAGGTGTATATAAGTGCCGCTTCGGTAAGTACGCACGTTGCATACACAACCACAGCAGAGGTTACATAATAATTATGAATATTCAAAGCAAAACATCACTTCAAGACACTCCGTAACAAACCAGTTAGTTTTACTTTGTGGATATACATATTTTGCTCTCTCATAACCCCGTAGTCTCAGAAGATATTTTGTTTATATATACTATTCACACGATTCATTTGTAACGTGAAGTTCATGAAGCGTTCATAAAATAACTCGGACTTGGCCTCGTCAATCTGTCCATATTGATTCACACACACTGATGACCAGCTCAACTCTTTATCTCTGAAACTCTATAATTTTGATGGAAACAAACAACTACATTAAAATTGGAAAAGAGCCCCAGTGAGATGGGAAATTCAGAACCTAGGAAAAATCTAGACTTGCTTCATTTAGAGCTACATCATCACAGGATTGACGAAAGTGAAAATAATACGGTTAAGGGACTGAGAATCGGTGCAATGCATTCTTGCGGTGGTATAATACCATGACTAAATTAGAATAGAATGACTTGCTTTCCAAACATGAGTGAGTGAGTGAGTGAGTGAGTGAGTGAGTGAGTGAGTGAGTGAGTGAGTGAGTGAGCGAGTGAGTCAGTCAGTCAGTCAGTGAGTCAGTGAGTCAGTGAGTCAGTGAGTCAGTGAGTCAGTGAGTGAGCGAGCTTTACCGACAAGGCTACCCCACTGCCCCCGTATTGTAAGACGGGGTATACAATGTGTGCTGTGTGTGTGTGTGTGTGACTTTAGTATTGTACTTCTATAGGGTGTACAGTGCGTCCATTGTGTGTATGTGACTGTAATCTTGTAAGACTATGAGGTGTACAATCTGTGCACTGTGTGTGTGACAGTAGTGTTGTATGTCTTTAGGGTAAACAATGTGTGCACTGTGTATATGTGGCTATCATCTTGTAAGACTATGGGGTATACAATGTGTGCACTGTGTGTGTGACTGTAGTATTGTATGTCTTTAGGGTAAACAATGTGTGCACTGTGTATATGTAACTGCAGTATTGTCAGACTATGGGGTATACAATGTCTGCACTGTGTGTGTGTGTGACTATAATAACTGTGAGACTGTGGGGTATACAATGTGTGTACAGTGTGTCACTGTACTATTGTAAGACTATGGGCAATACAATGTGTGTACTGTGTGTATGTGACTGTAGTATTGTAAGACTATGAGGTGTACAATGTGTGGACTGTGTGTATGTGACTCTAGTGTTGTAAGACTATGGGGTATACAATGTGTGGACTGTGTGTATGTGACTGTAGTATTGTAAGAATATCGGGTATACAATGTGTGTACTGTGTGTATATGACTGTAGTATTGTAAAACTATGAGGTTTACAATGTGTGTACTGTGTATATGTGACTGTAGTATTGTAAGACTGTGGGGTATACAATCTGTGCACTGTGTGTATGTGATTGTAGTATTGTAACCCTGTGGGGTATTCAATCTGTCCACTGTGTGTATGTGATTGTAGTATTGTAAGACTATGAGATATACAATTTGTGTGTGTGTGTGTGTGTGTGTGTGTGTGTGTGTGTGTGTGTGTGTGTGTGTGTGTGTGTGTGTGTGTGTGTGTGTGTGTGTGTGTGTGTGTGTGTGTGTGTGTGTGTGTGTGTGTGTGTGTGTGTGTGTGTGTGTGTGTGTGTGTGTGTGTGTGACTGTAGTATTGTAAGACTGTGGGGTATACAATGTGTGCACTGTGTGTATGTGACTGTAGTATTCTACGACTATGGGGTATACAATGTGTGCACTGTGTGTATGTGACTGTGGCATTGTAAGACTATGGGGTAAACAATGTGTGCACTGTGTGTGTGTGACTGTAGTATTGTCAGACTATGGGGTATTCAGTGTGTGTACTGTGTGTGTGTGACTGTAGTATTGTAAGACCTTGGGGTATACAATGTGTGCACTGTGTGTATGTGACTGTAGTATTATAACACTATGAGGCCTACAATGTGTGTACAGTGTGTAACTGTACTATTGTAAGACTATGGGCAATACAATGTGTGTACTGTGTGTATATGACTGTAGTATTTTAAGAATATCGGGTATACAATGTGTGTACTGTGTGTATATGACTGTAGTATTTTAAGACTATGAGGTGTACAATGTGTGGACTGTGTGTATGTGACTGTAGTATTTTAAGAATATCGGGTATACAATGTGTGTACTGTGTGTATGTGACTGTAGTATTGTAAGACTATGAGGTGTACAATGTGTGGACTGTGTGTATGTGACTGTAGTGTTGTAAGACTATGGGGTATACAATGTGTGGACTGTGTGTATGTGACTGTAGTATTGTAAGACTATGGGATATACAATGTGTGTACTGTGTGTATGAGACTGTAGTATTGTAAGACTATGAGGTGTACAATGTGTGGACTGTGTGTATGTGACTGTAGTATTGTAAGACTATGGGGTATACAATGTGTGTACTGTGTGTATGAGACTGTAGTATTGTAAGAGTATGGGGTATACAATGTGTGCACTGTGTGTATGTGACTGTAGTATTGTAAGACTATGAGGTTTACAATGTGTGGACTGTGTGTATGTGACTGTAGTATTGTAAGACTATGGGGTATACAATGTGTGTGTGTGTGTGTGTGTGTGTGTGTGTGTGTGTGTGTGTGTGTGTGTGTGTGTGTGTGTGTGTGTGTGTGTGTGTGTACATGTGTGTGTGTGACTGTAGTATTGTACAACTATGGGGTATAGAATGTGTGCACTGTGTGTATGTAACTGTAGTGTTGTACGACTATGGGGTATACATTGTGTGCACTGTGTGTATGTGACTGTAGTATTGTAAGACTGTGGGGTATACATTTTGTGCACCGCATGTATGTGACTGTAGTATTGTAAGACTGTGGGATATCCATTGTGTGCACTGTGTGTATGTGACTGTAGTATTGTAAGACTGTGGGGTATACAATGTGTGCACTGTGTGTACGTGACTGTAGTATTGTAAGACTGGGGGGTATACAATGTGTGCACTGTGTGTATGTGACTGTAGTATTGTAAGACTGTGGGGTATACAATGTGTGCACTGTGTGTATGTGACTGTAGTATTGTAAGACTGGGGGGTATACAATGTGTGCACTGTGTGTATGTGACTGTAATAACTGTAAGACTGTGGGGTATACAATGTGCGTACAGTGTGTGACTGTAGTATTGTAAGACTATGGGGTATAAAATATGTGCACTGTTTGTATGTGACTGTAGTATTGTAAGACTATGAGGTATACAATTTGTGCACTGTGTGTATGTGACTGTAGTATTGTAAGACTATGAGATATACAATGTGTGCACTGTTTGTGTGTGACTGTAGTGTTGTAAGACTATGGGCAATACAATGTGTGTACTGTGTGTATGTGACTGAAGTTTTGTAAGACTATGAGGTGTACAATGTGTGGACTGTGTGTATGTGACTGTAGTATTGTAAGAATATCGGGTATACAATGTGTGTACTGTGTGTATGTAACTGTAGTATTGTAGGACTATGAGATATACAATGTGTGCACTGTGTATATGTGACTGTAGTATTGTCAGACTATGATGCCTACAACGCGTGCCCTGTATCTATGTGACTGTAATAACTGTAAGACTATGGGGTATACAATGTGTGCACTGTGTGTATGTGACTAGTATTATAAGACTATGAGGCCTACAATGTGTGTACTGTATATATGTGACTGTCGCATTGTAAGACTATGGGGTATACAACGTGTGTACTGTGTGTATGTGAAACAGGTTTACAATGGATGAGGGTTTTTGTCATAAAGTTGGGTTGATGTTTACAGAGCTCATATAGCGCTGAGAACACTTTGTGGATCTGGCCTAACCTAACCTAAACACTAGCTAGATGTCTCCAGGGCGAACTGAAAGTAAACAGCTATGACAAATTGAAATACAACAGTAACATTAATATGTGTTTCATTTCTAGACAAGAATGTACGTTGTTCGTTCACTCGTATCTTAGCCATCAGGACCTACGTGTATTGATCCAGTTGATTATAAAACAGAAAAAAAATCAGATTACATATATATAGAAAATTCTTGACATTGCCTTCTTTCATAAATTGTAACAAGTCACTTAACTCAAATTAATAGCCTCCCTGCTTTGTTTGTTATGTTCGTTTATGTATATCGTTGATTGATTTAGTTCTTTTATTTGTCACCCTTCCATGATAACAATACATCGTTAGGCAGTATAATCTGAACTAACAATCCAACGGTGGGAGACGCGTAGCATCGGTTTCATTAATCTAGCTGTCTTGTGAAGGTGGTTGTGTAACGCTGCATTGGGGATCAGGAGAAATTATCTTCGTTACACGTTCTGAGGATTCCAGTAATCCCATAGACAAAAGACATAGTTAGGCCTCGACATGGCGTCATTTACTGGGGTAATTGGATACAGTGTTACGTGCGTGTTTCATTTTGTTGTTAGCATTAATGTCACGTGAAAACATGATGTACATCAAACTGTCATCTTTAAATCAGTTTCCGTCTTTATCTTAAATTCCTTTTTGGATGCGATTGATAATCTGTGAAATCTGTTTTGGAAAATAGTAGGTTTAAGCCTAACTAGCGCAGCATGTACAGCCATCTGGTATATCGGGACAATTATAGTCTGGAAGTTAATTTAAGGTACCGACGTTTACTACAATATCTGAAAAACTATTGGACCTACACCGTATTCGTGCGTGCGTGATTCCCGTGCAACCTTTCGAGTTGAGTTGATTGGTTCAACCGTGTCATATGGCCCTGTGACGCAGGGGTAGCATTATGCAGATGGCTGTTACAATGAATGCTCGTTCCACCCGTGACGAACAGGTCTGGTTGTTGATGGAATATAGTGATAGCTAAATAGACAGATTTTTTATTCATGCACCGATTGTCTTTAAATGTAATATCCAGTTATGTATGACTGTTTAATAATCCCATACCAACTTTGACTGTAGTCCAATAATTTTTCAGATATTGTAGTAAATGTCGGTACCTTAAATTAACTTCCAGACTATATATACAAGTATATTAATACTTTTTCCTGTTGCTATGTTGTGCAGCTTTAGCTGATGCAAAGAATACACTTAACGAGAGAGTGAGTGAGTGAGTATGGGTTTACGCCGCTTTTAGCAATATTCCAGCAATATCACAGCAGGGGACATCAGAAATGGGTACACATTTGTTACCATGTGGGGAATCAAACCCTGGTCTTCGGCGTGACGAGACCCTTTATGAGCATATATTTGACACTAGAATCTAGAACAATACATGCAGATTGAAGACTACAAATGACCACATGAAAATCGTGCTAGGTAACACCAGGTGTTCGCGAAAAGGGTAATCATGCCCTGCTCTGCCGGGATCATCCGCCACAATTTGCATAAATCATCAGCATTTGTTGACATGCGACGGTGATATGTAAACAAACCAGACAAACATGATTCCAGACCATTCGCTGTTATTTTGACAGGATCTTTCTCTTCGATGTTATTTATCACGTACTTGTATTGATATTATTAATTTACAGATTAAAATAAATAAATGCAGCAAAGAGGGTTTGGGTGATCCTGGCACAGTCAGGCTGGTTAGGCTCATCATCAGCTCAGGGCCCTTGCCCCCTCTACACGCAGCCCAGACAGCGAATGGGATTACTCCCAGTAAGTGCTGCCTAGTCAAACCCGTCCAGAACTTTTCGGAGAATGTCAAGACTCCCCAACACTGCGGCCTTCTGCATTACCCAGATTGTCAGAAGGGCTGCATTCCTGGAAGCAAACCCGGGTACTCTCCCAATGCCAGTCAACAGATTGGGAGGTACCAAACCTAAGGCACCGAGAACAACGGGGAGTCAGACGTACTTGGGATGCAAGCGTGACATTTCGAAAGAGAGGTCTTGTCAATCGCATTAGTGTCAAAGGGTACAGAAAAATCGAGTTGAAAGGATGAATTTTCTTCATTTCGTTCTGTAACCCAGTGATAGCCAGCTTCGGGGGTTAGCCCTAACTGGGTGATATACGTTTGGTACAGGGGATTAAATCCTCCCTATCTAGGCCCACCATCATCAGGCCCTTGTTATTACACGACAACACGCCACACCACCACACCACCACACGGCACGACACACCACGCCACGCCACGCCACGCCACGCCACGCCACGCCACGCCACGCCACACCACACCACACCACACCACACCACACCACACCACACCACACCACCACACCACACCACAACATGCTACACCACCACACCACCACACGACACGCCACACCACGCCACGCCAGGCCACGCCACGCCACACACACCACATCACGCCACACACACACCACACCACACCACACCACACCACACCACAACACACCACAACACACCACATGTGTAAGTTAAAACATCTTGAACGCGACCACACCTTATACTACGCCATTGGGCCATTCGTGCACCTTAGAACTAAGAGCTACATTCGTCGACCACATTTGATTGTTGGGATGAGAAATAAGACCACCCACCACATATTGATTTGAGAGAATAAATTGCAACTGTCGTGTACAAAATGTTGACAAAGTAGTTTCAAACAACCATCTGTCAGGTGTTATTTGGCACAAAGGAAACAGCCACTCTTATGTCAGCCTAAGTACTGGAGACATGCAATTACACATCTCACACACAATCTTGCTGTTTGCAGGGGCCAGTGCCCGCCGTCGTGTGTCGGAAGGGTGTCAGGATGGAGTCGATGATGTTGCTGTCGCCGGTGGACGGTCCGACGTCGGTTGATGGGTCCCTGTCGCGTTACAACACAGGACAACAGTTGACCCACGAAGCAAGAAGAAAGGCAACACCAGCACATCAAACCCGTGGGCACTTGGCGTCATTGTCCTGCATGTCTTTAAATAGTGCCTTGATCAAAAGGTTCATAGTTGTTCGACTAGAGGCACGCAACGTTCAGCTAATCAGCAAATGCGTCAAGCACCTGTAGACTTATTGGATGCGTGAAACTCCGTGGCAAGTCCTGTCGAGAACTGTTCAACAGCCAACAGAGGGCCAACACTGGGTCATCACAGTGTGTCTGACGCGTTGCCATCACATTCCGTAGTCACAATCAATCAAATAACGTCATATGAAATTTTAATTCAATTACAACACTCCAACTTTGCCCATCCTCGTGGACCGGCAGTTATTTCATGATTGTTTAAACAGGAGTGGGTAATAAATTTACATTCATAACGCTCTAATTTCCATGCACGATGACCTGCTCGAAGCGCACACTGGAGGGTTTCGAGAGAAATAGACAGGACAGGTTTTGATTTGGTTGCCGCACTCAGCAATATTCTAGCTAAATGACGGCGGTCTGTTAATAATCGAGACTGGACCAGACATTCCAGTGATTGACATCATGAGCATCGATCTACGCAATTGGGATACGATGACATGCATCAACCAAGTCAGCGAGCCTGACCATCCGATCCGGTTAGTCACCTCTTACGACAAGCATAGTCGCCTCTAACGACAAGCATAGTCACCTTCTACGGCAAGCATAGGTTGCTGAAGACGTATTCTTCCAGGTTTTGAGTACAACAATATTCAGGAACTGTATGTTCAGCTGTGAGGAAACTGCGAGTCATCAACGCATGATGCACGTGAAATGTGTTCCTTTAGCACATGCAACTCGTTCTTTGTTAACTCGGGGTGTGAAATGCATCTCCCGGGGGATGTTTGTCAATCACCTACATATTACTTAAACATATCCATGGGACTATTATGAGCAAACGCAGCCTTGATCAAGAAAAGGGTATCTCTGTTTCTATCTGTTCTTTATATTACATAAATGTAACCCAATTACATGTATGGTCTTTATATTGTATAACATACCGAATAAAACACAAATATCACCATTCTTCATCTTCCCGAGGCAAGCGTGGCTTTCTTTTTCACCAGTATCCTGAATGAGCGTTTAACGAAATAATTCGATGCCATGCCACTCCAGCGCAGGTGGGAAACAATTCCAAACTACGAATAATAAATTCGTTATCCAGTCATTAATGCACATTTCGAACCTTTAAACAAAGATTTGCTTTATTGTGCGTGCATAGATTTTACAAAGGCATTTGACACTGTATGAATAGTAGGCCTGTGGTCGAAAATGCAAAACACTGGAATTGAGGGCCGATTAAACATTAGTTAAAATATGTACAGTTATACAAGCTCAATGGTGCAATCAAATAATGCAGAATAGGAATATTTCCCTTTTCAAACAGGGGTCAGACAGGGCGAAAAAATATCATTAATACTGTTTTCAATATTTTTAAATGATCTTGAACCTTATTTAGCAAATAAAGGATGTGAACACGGTTATAACGAACTAACGGATTATAACGAACTTACTTTTTTGGTCCCGACTATTTGCTGTACTTATGCTGTATATATGCTTATAACGAACTACGGTTATAACGAACTCAAATTAGTAGTCCCGTTGAGTTCGTTATAACCATACTTTACTGTATTTTAATTTGGGGGAAAGGTTATATATAATTATACATACCTAGGTATTGATCTTCACAGAAATAGAAAGTTTGTGTTTTGTATTAAATCAGAAACAGCAAACGCGACAATAGCAATGTACTGTTTAACAAAAAGAGCAAGAAACGTTAACCTACCATTAGATTGTCTATTGAAAGCTGTTGATGTGATAGTAATACCAATCCTTCGCTACTGTTCCGAAACAGTATCTACACTGTAGATATCGCTGCAATGAAATTGCATCACAATGCTTTGCAGACCATTGTGACGTCATTGGTTACATGACGTCACAATCAAATGACATCACTAATGGCTCTGCTACTGAAGCTGTTAGCAGTACTTTTTACACTAAAGACACTGCTTATTACTGTCTACAAACTGAAAAGGTTGGAAGAATGTTGCTGGATGATAAATAAGCCTCGGAGTTTTCCCACTTTTATCAACTCGTGTTGATATATTTGATATCAAAAGACACGAGGGCCAGATTCTCTATATAAAATTTTATATTTGTGAATGATACTAATTTATGGTGTAAATGAAACATCGTGTAAATGGAGAGAAACAGTCAAACACTTTCTAAATGATATCAAATTGTCAGAAATATGCATCAACCCATCTATTTGCTCAACGTTATGGCTGGTCTCAAAAGTTGAAAGAATTCTCAAAGATCGATTCATTCAAAAGGTTTTTATTACCAACACTTGAAAGAATTACCAAAAGTTGAAAAATTCTTATTACTTCCAAAACATATATATATTTATTTGATGTCAATCAATGGATTGTCTGGTCCATACGCGATTATTTACAGACGGACGTCATATAGCTGGTATATTGCCGAGTGCGGCGTTAATCAATAAACAAATAAACAGCGACGAGATCAATGCGGTTGTCGTCATTAATAGGCGTCACTTCCTGAATCCATTTGGGAAGATCGGAAAGTTTGCTTGCGTCGCTGTGGATTATTTATGTCACGTTTACAGTAGTCTTTTAATCGGTCCATATGTGGGAAGAACAATCGTTAATTATGAGCATTTTTGTTTATATTAATATCATTCATTGTTAATAATATGTTTCTGTACTTTTATTTTCTGTACATTGTTGCAACGTTTACATAAGTCTCGTTGGCTTGTTGCTCGAACCAGTCCGTTCTCGAGGAAACAAATATGTTTAAATCACATCTTCCTGTGGAGAAGAAGGGAGAGCGTTTCATTCCAAATGCAGTGTGTGAACGTCCACAGATGTTATAATAAAGCATTGTGACGTCATTGCAATAGGGTGATCCGTTTTTTTGTCCAGCTTTCTTCAAACCTCCCAATCAAATTCTTCAAAGGACGTTAATTGATGCGGTTATCACCCATATTCTCCCTTTCTTTCCCACATGTGAATAACCATATTTTAATGAGCTAGCTGAAGGTCGTTTTGCCTGTAACGCTCAATGGCCTTTTATTAATTTCTATCACAAGAAAAAACTCTCGAACGAGTAATCTGTCATGTGTCGATGTAAAAAGTCATATTCTGAAATTAGAGACTTCATCTGATATTGTTATTAGTTGGGAAATGATGAAAAATGGTGTCTCTTCATTATGCATTTGCTTTATTCTGCCCTGACAGCTTCAATGTGTGGGCTTTGTGGACCTCGCCTTGGGTCATATTTGCCATGAAGATTCAAATTAACGAGCTGTGAGCATGGTGGAATCGATTTGTATAGCCTAACATAAACCGATAACATTTTAGTTCTCCACTATATAAGGAGGAAGGTGATTTTATGTGTTACATATTACATATATTTGATCAAAACAGTAAATGTAATTAATATTGCATTTGACCCGTGAAGATCCGGGGTAGAATAGGTCTTCAGCAACCCATGCTTGCCGTAAAAGGTGACTATGCTTGTCGTAAGAGACGACTAACGGGATCGGATGGTCGGGCTCGCTGACTTGGTTAATGCATGTCATCGTATCCCAATTGCGTGGAACGATGCTCATAATGTCAATCACTGGATTGTCTTGTCCAGACTCGTTTATTTACAGACCGCCGTCATACAGCTGAAATATTGATGAGTGCGGCTTTAAACAACAAACAAACAAACAAACAAATATTGCATTCTTAATGTATATATTATTTAGATTGTTTTCTTCTTGAAATACGTGCCTTCCAGAGCATAATAGTAAATTTCAAATTCCTTTTGTTGAATTGTAATAACAGATATTGTAACACATGGCAATTGCCATATTTGGTCAGTGGTCTATAATAAAAACTCGTCACGATATGGCTGCAATATTGCCTCTGTGACGTTAAATATTAACTCACTCACTCACTATAATAAAAAACGATACCATTTCCATAATCATAAGAAAGCTCTGCTTAAAGCATGTGTTTATGAATCAAATAGTGATGACACCAGGTGTTCGCAAAAAGGTACCACAAGCGATGGGATACAAGTCTCACCCAGACCCTTATCATCCCCCGCCCCAACGAAGTTGGCGGGGGATGTTAAAATGGGTTCCGTCCGTCCGTCCGTCCGTCCGTGTATGAATGCATCCCGAAATCGTTTCCGGAGCATAACTCAGAAACCGTTCAATATTTCTCTACGAAACTTTGCATGTCTACCAGGCACATACTTAACTGGTGCCTTTTGCTTTTTAGGAATTTTTATTTTTCTTATTTTTACGTTTCCATGGCAACAAGTTGGACTTAGGTTCTATAAGGGTGGTGTTCATTTCCGGAGCGTAACTCAAAGCCAATTCAATACTTTCTAACAAAACTTTGCATGTTTACCAGACACATACTGAACTGGTGCCTTTTGCTATTTAGGAATTTTAGAATTTTTATTTTTAACGTTTCCATTGCAACCAGTTGGACTTAGGTTCTATAAGGGTGGTGTTCATTTCCGGAGCGTAACTCTTTAATACTTTTTTAACTTAGTGATAAGTGTCTTCAAGGGGTACAAGTTTTGTTTTTTTTAAACTACTGATGTTACATGGATGAAACTTTGCAAGCTTATCTAAGAGAATATTTAATAAGGCAAAATACGTTTGTAAGAATATCCTCAGTGTGGATATCGCTGACGTGGTACATAGAAATTTTCATCTGAATCATATTAACATAAGACCGATCCGCTAATACATAACCTTTATATCTAAGGATTGATAATAAACGCCTACAGACATATTACTAGAAGTGTTAACCTCCAATAATTAAATACTAGTAAGAATTAATACAGGGCGAGTTATGTCGATGCACACATATGGTATTTATATATGATTATTACCAGCACTCTACACGTAATAATGCGCGTTTTAACAGTACCATGACAAACTGGACACAATTTATGGATAACAACTTCAAAGGCGACGTTCGGTAAAGATCCTTATGCCGTTGAATAATGAACATGGTAGTGAGTGAGTTGGGTTTAACGCCGCTTTTAACAGTATTCAAGTTATATCGCGGCGTGTCAGCTTAATGTGGGAGGAAAGCCCGAAGTGATACAGGTCGCAGACGTTTACCACTTCGGCGAAACCCACGAGCACGGGTATGGTGCTGACAAACCTAGAAACATAATCGGGGCGAACCGGGATTCAAACCAACAACCATAGGTTTCTGAGGAGCCCGAGGGCGTGTTTTGTGTTTGTTGTTTAACGCCGCACTCAGCAATAGTCCAGCTATATGACGGCGGTCTGTAAAATAATCGAGTCTCGACCAAACAATCCAGTGATTGATATCACGAGCATCGATCCACGCAATTGGGATCGATAACCTGCATCAACCAAGTCAGCGAGCCTGACCACCCGATCCCGTTAGTCGCCTTTTACGACAAGCATAGTCGCCTTTTATGGCAAGCATGGGTTGCTGAAGACCTATTCTGCCCCGGATCTTCACGGGTCTCGAGCCCAAGGGACGCAACTCTGCACAGCGAAT